AAGATTTCAAGAGATATAGAGTCCACCTCATTCTTCAGTAAATTGTTCAATACCCTGAATCATTAAGTTCATTACACCTTGATTCTGAGTTATATGGTTAACGTTTTAACTGTGTTTACCCCTTAATACACTCCCCTTTTGCTGTAAATTAAAAACTTGACTACTCTAGCAAGTCTATCACAATGACTGGTTACCCTACTATTAAGTTGGTGACTATCCAAACTATGTAGCTCCTCTCTCCTGTGGAAAAAAGCCCAATGCTCTATAAAACGTTCTACATTACACCACATACCTAGACAATAGTTCTCACCTTTGAAAAATTTAGTAGGAAGCAGTGATCTAGCCAGAATCCTAGTTTTAAAAAAAGCAAGCCAAAAAACTTAAGAATTGGGGCAATACAAAGTAGTGTCATCCAAAGTGGAAGTCAGAAATTAGAAGTCACAGAGGGAAAACAATGTAAAAAGGAAATGCTAAGGACAGAATTTTAAGGGGGTCGGGGAGGCAAAATTAGTTTTTCATCTGTAATTTCAATTTCTCCTAGAAGATTCACCTCTCTGGACAGACATCCTAACTCTTACGTACTCGTGTACAATCTAGCAGAATTAAAGCAGAGTTCCTCTTTTTTCTCGAAAATGAAAGTTCTTCCTGTCTGCAACTAATCTTACCCTCCCCAGACACACATTTACAATGTAAAGGACACACATAACTTGAATCCCTTCCCACATAGAATCTGCTCCCAATGTTTCTAATCCTTCTTGTCCTTTTCACCATTACTATTTTACCTTTAGAAATCAGATGAGCATGACTAAAACCAGTGCTGAAGATGAAAAGTGTCCCTTCAGTTTATACTATGCTATTATGTTTTCTGGATTATTTAGTACCTCATAGCATGGTGCCTGAAAGTATATTAAGGATTGTATATTCATATATTCTTAGCACCTAAACTTTATTACTCAGCCTGACCAGGGCCCATGGAAAACTAGGGCAAATGGTGAGATGTTGTCTGAGGACTCATTCTTTATTCATTCTTTACTTGTCTGGGATGTACATGGTTGAGCAGGAAAAAAGTAATTTATGTTTATATTAATCATTTCCCAATACTCAAGCAAGGTATTCAGTACAAAATGAGTTTAATAAGTCTTATTTCTACTGTATATTCTTTTGAAAGTATTTTGCAGTTGTAACCCAGTACAAATATCGATAGACAAAAATTTGTTTTTATTCCTCTGCTGGGGATCTCTATTCTGGATGTAGTTTATAGGTATTTATGTCCAAGCCACTGACAAAGAGAGAGTTGTTAGATGAGAAATGCGACTTACACTAATTGAGCTTAATTAAGCTCAATCAGTACAACTAAATGTAAAACAATTTAAGTGTCCATTCAAGGGCCTACTGTGATTTAACTCAAATGGATTTAAAAAGTGACTTATGTTAAATCAGTTCAACTTCTGTATGTGGATAGGACCTTAGTTTTACTAATTTGCCCTTTGGATATTATGCATTTCTCATCGATCAACACACTTCTTTTAGTATTCTCATGTGTTTATTTCTTTCTCACCACACTCATTTTAGCCTTCTCAGATTTGGTTTGGGGCACTCCGATTCTCCTCCAAAGACAGGAAGACATCTGCAGAAACATCTGTCTTCTTCCGCACAAAACAGCTTGTGCATCTATCCCTCCACTGATGAGAATGGAACACTACTCCCTTTGGAACACAATGCTCTTCCATAAATCAGTGAGACCAAAGGACAATGTAAGGAGAGTCTTACTCTGGTACCATCACTTCCCTGTACCGTTAGTATTTAAATTCTCAGTCCATCCTGTACTAAAATCTTAGAGGGAAATCCCGACCAAGATTTATAAAATTGATTTTATCATAACTCATCTTTCCTGACATTTTATAGGCAAAACTGTCTTGGGTCCTTCAGCTGGGGTGTCACCATGATGTAGCCCATTTGGAGAATAATATATGGAGAGATGGGAATTCCAGAAGACCATCTTAGAAGTAAAAGAGAGGGGAAACAGATGCACAGAATCCAAAGGGATGGTGGGGTCAAAGATCCAGAGTAAAATTAACTAACCAGACATTTAAGGAAGAAAGCATTACTTGGATTTTAGCTATTCCTACCAACTTCATCAAGAAAGGGATAACAATGGAGATTTTACCCCATTTCCCTCCAAAAAAAAAAAAAAAAAATTAAGTTAAACGTCCATATCTAAGTTATTCCATTATATGATTACACTCAGCATACTTTCTGTAACATTAACAGAAGAAGTGTTTTATTGCCCAGCTCTAGTATCACTGACCTTAAAGATTGCTGGCAGCTGTATAAAAACAAGAAAAAGAATCCAGTTTGACCTGAACCAAAAATAAAGATTTTTGGTAATCAAGCAAAGTCATCAAAAGTTACATTTTGGATCAAACTAAACATTTTGTTTCTGGGCATTTTTTACCTCTCTTAATAAAAGCAAAGGAGATGCCGGGCTAGATTCACAAAACTGGAAGAGAAGGTGCCCCCCCTCATACCAAATAGACCAGTCATTAGGACACTCACCTGGGATATGGGAAACCCAGGTTAAAATTCCTTCTCTGGAAAAGGGACTGAATGCAGGTCTCCCCCCTCAAAGTTGAGTGTCTTAACCATCAAACTATATAGGCTATTCTGGGGTAGGCCTCTCTCTCAAGCCCTCCCGTTGAACCCATTTCACTTTGTATAAAATACCTATATAGTCGCTGGACCAGAAAGATTGAGAACATTGAAATACGGTGTATGGTGGAAGATTTATATTAACACCTAAATAACTTTAATTCCTAATTATCACTTTGGATAAAACAATACTTCAAGATTCAACACATTCCTTCTTTCAAAGAAAGCATCAGAAGTCACTATAAGCATCCCTGAGCCATCCCAGAAGTTCTCCAGCAAAGGTATTGAGAAAGATACTTGACATTTGTGAGATTTCCAAAGTAAACAAACAGAAATAAAAACTTTTCTTTAAACAAAAACAGGGTGGATTTGATTTAAATCAAATTGATTTAAATCACTAGTCAGGAAGAGTCAATTTAATCATGAATCTCTACATAAAAGTGCATTCTTGTTGGTTGTTATAACCTTAATACATATTCTTCACAACTCAGAGATAGATGTAGGTTTCATTTTTAGAAGGTACACACTATACATTTTTAAAGTGATTTATTTTGAAAACTTTTCAGATTAGTTTTACAGCTATATCAGAAAATGAATGATTGTTTGGTTATTTCATTTACCAAAGATAATTGAAGCAGATATTTATGAAGACATTGGGAGGTGAACTATCTCCAATTCAACAGGTTAATCATTAATATTTGGAGGATTTTCTTGCCATGCTGTATTAGGAGGAGAACGTCACCAGACATTTAAATTGTTTTATTTAACTAAAACAACAATATTATGTATTCTGGATTTTTTCTTCAACAGCAAACATATCATATTTGAACAAAACAAGCATATGAATTTTTGAAGTTAGTTAAACATTCAAGTTTTTTAAAAACAGGTTTGTTTTTGTTAAAATTGTTTTTAACTAAAATAGTTAAATTAAATTTAAAAAAAAATACAAAAATTAAATCGACTATGTCAGCCAGGTCAACATGAGAAACTTAAAATATTGGCTTCTGCAGCTATCTCAGTCGTCTTCACCTTCATTTTCCTGTTTGTTCATAATCTGGAAAAGAAAAACAAGCTTTCCTGCTTTTCTAGGTCCCAAATGATTTCTCAATTTGGAATGAATTAGTCCAAAGGAAGAAAATATTCTTTCTACACCAGCAGAAGAAGTTACTGCAGTTAAAAGTGAGATGATCACTTCAACCGTCTCTGAATCCAAGCGCTTAAGTGACTTCCACCAGTTCACTGGTGTGACTTTCTTTAAATCATCATCAGCAGCAAACATATATTTCTTGAATGGTTCTTATTCCCAAACTGGGTCTCTTTTACGGCCTGCTATCATTATAGGTTTTCCCTTCTAGTGAGAGAATGTATGGAAGATCTCAAATCAATGAAGGCTACACTCAGAAAGACCTCAAGACTTGTGGAATAGGATGCTCAAACAGTTTCACTTTTGTTTCTACTGCCTGTCCCTCCCTTCTCACATTTATCTCCAGACTTCTTCTCCTTGTCCAGATCTATTCCACCCCCAACAATCTTCTATTCATTGAACTGTTTGAAACTTCGCTCTTTTAAAGAGAGGTGAGGGATTGACTCTCTGTACACAAATTTGCAGAGGGCAATAGGGTTGAGGTCTGTTATTTCTCACCTCTATATAATTTATTTAAAAACATTTTTGCTGTTAACAAGCATGTTATCTTGGAAAACACAAATCCACAGTTTGAGAACTGCAAAACTAAGCATCTCGGATGGTACCTTCTAGACTAAGCAATGAGTCCCACAGGGTAGATAGAAAGATTAACCTAAATAATCTTTACAGAAGCCCCTGGAACCCCATAAGATTGGGTCCCTAATCCATGAACTATTAGAACTCATTTACAAAACTTTCCTTAAACATTATATGGATATATTGTCTCATACTATAAAATTAGAATTTATAATCCCTATTCCATGATGAGATATCTTTGAGCTATTATGTATCTTAATTGAAACTTTAGATGGATTTTTTTGATGAAATGCTTTTTGAGGGAAAAAACCTACAGTAATTTAAATTAAAAAAATCCAATTTCAATTTAAAAAAAAATCTGATTTTATTTATTAAAATATTTGATTTTTATCCACCCTGAACAAAAACGAAATCACTTTCAGACATTCATGCATTACAACAAAAAGGCAAAATCTCAATTTTTAAAAAATACTTTGCAGGTCACACAGAAGTCTCTCATACAACCAAGAATGCACCAATCTCCTTAACCATTAGACCATCCTTCATCTCTAATTCCACCTCCACATATTCAAATATTTCTCAAATTCCCATCTTCCTGCAGCACTAAAAAAAGTAACTTAGCAATGCTTACCAATTCAACTAAGGGAGTCTTATCTCTTGTGTGGAGGACTGGAGTAGATCCACAAACTTATTGGTTTGTTCCTGGACTTCTTCCATGGATATTCTGAGAGCTTTCACCACCTTCTTAAGAAGCTTCTAGAAGCCACTGAAATCACCTGAAGGGCACCTGGAGAGATGACTGCCTCATCTGGGAAAGATAAGGATATGGCCTGTGGAGATGGGTGCTATCTTCTCAGGTTCTTCCTCTTGGTGTTGAAGAGGAGAGGTCTTGAACAGGGGTTGCAGAGGCACAGGGTCAGCTCTGGATGCTGTAGCTGAAGTAGACAGTCTCTTGTATTGCTCAGTTCTGCTCTGGAAGTATCACAGGCCCCAGTGACCATGCTGGAACTGGTTGATATGGTCCCAGTGCCTAGAGTCTAAGAAATCAATGCCTTTGTTCTAATAACAGAATGTCCCAATACCTAGCTCTAGTGTAAGGTCTCAGTCCATATATGATGATGATGTGGACACTTCTGAGGTGAGCATATGTTTGAGACTCTATCATCATCAGAGACTTTCAATGAGGCATAGTCCGGTTCCACTGGAGGAGCCAGGTCTTTCAAAGTAGAGGATAGGGCTATGGGCATCATTAGTGCCAAGGAAGTTTGATGTCTTGGTGCTGACACAGCTGCCAATGTTGGTAAGAGGGGTGATTCTGACTCCAGAAGAATTAAGAGGTCCTTCAGTGCTATAAACCTCTGGGATGCACAAGTGTCTCAGTTCTGATTTCTCCCTCAGCACCAGTTCAGGCTTCCATGCAGAGGCTGATGGTACAGCACACAGTGTAGAAGGCAGCAGTACCAGAGCAGGTTGTGGAAGTGCTGATGTTGATGCTACTGTATGAGCTGCTATAGGTGCTGAGTTCCTTGCCGAAGATGGAGGCTTTGGCAGTACCACCTTCCCTCAGCCCTGCCAGCGGTGCTTCAGTGCCCAGATGAAGCTGAACTTCAATGGCAACTGCTCAGACTGAGTGGTGTCAAGGGAAGGCCCTGCTCAAGCTCTTAGTGGGAAAATGCTTCCCTGGCTTACCACTTCCTTAGACTTTACTGACATATTGGTGAGTCTCAGCTCCCAGGCTCTTGGATTCTGAGGGGCCACACAAGGAAGTGTGTTTCAAAGATCCCAGGTCAGATGCCGGCCTCAAAGATCTATTCTTTAAGATCTGCAGGCAGGATTCCCTATCCTTTCTCATACGTGAGTTAAAGAACTTGCAAACTGAACATCTTCCAGTGACACACAATTCCTTGAGGCCATCAAGACACGGGTCCATCAGTCAGGGGCACTGTTCTGTGATATACCCGGCAATACTTGAAATTAGGGGACCTGGAAGAGGCCACTCTGGATCTAAAACTACATTTAAAATAGAAATAAGAATGCTTAAAAACACCTCAAAACACTAAAATAAAAACTTGCCAATGGGCAAACTAACTACTAAAAACTAGAATAACTACACAGGTAGAATAGTTGCTGGCAGTCACATGGACAGCGAGCACTCAAGTCTCAAAGCCGAGAGGAGAGGAACCGAGTAATGGCTAGCGCACTCCGCCATTATATGCCCTCAACGTGAAGCATGAAGAGTCTCAAAGTGCATGTCCAGATATCCAAAACACTGCACACTTAACAGCATGAGTCACCTGAACACTAGTAATGGAATGTACCATATATACTCGTTCATAAGCCAAATTTTCTAAGTAAAAAAGGGAAGCACCAGAGAAGGGGGTGGGCTTATGAACGGGTATAGAGAGGGAGAGGTGGGACACAGCCCCTCCTCCCAACAGAGGGAGCAAGGAGAGGCAGCACAGCCAGCAGAACCAGAAGGGAAAAGACGGGGCCAGAGTCTCTCTGCTTCTGGCCATGCTGCTCTCCCCCAAGCCTCCGAAGCAGCTGCAGCTCCAGGGCTGACAGGCTGCAGCCGTGCAGCTCGGCCCCGCCCCCCAGAGCAGGCTGTGGCCGAGCCGCCCGGCCCACCAAGGCCCGCTGGGGCCGTGCCACCTGGCCCAGCCCACTGGAACATGCTGTGACTGCGCCGCCTGGTCTGGCCCGCCGGAGCAGGCTGCGGCCGCGCTGCCCAGCCTGCCGGAGCAGCTCCAGCCAGGCCAGAGACATCCTCCCCTGGCCCTCCCCAGATAAGGTGGGAAGGGGTGGGATGAGAAGAGTGTGGGGTCCCAGGCTAGGGTCATTGGGGGGTGGTCACAGGGGTTACTCCCCTCACCCCCAGCTTCTCCCCCCCCAAAAAATTTCCCCACCAGTTGCTGTCCCGGCCTGTCAGGGTAAGCAGCTGGCATGCCGGGACACTTTGTTTACTTAGGTTTACCACCTTGCCTGCAGACGCTCGAGGTAAACAAACCATCTCGGCCCGCCAGTGGCTTATTCTGATGGCCTGGGAGCCAAAGTTTGCTGACCCCTGAATTATAGGGTCGGCTTACGAATGGGTCATAAACATTTTCCATGTTTACTTATCCATCTTGGGGGGGGGGGTCAGCTTATAAACGAACCGGCTTATGATCGAGTATATACAGCACTTATGGACAAGCACTCGAAGGAGAATATTTTCTTCATTTCAATTTATTCAACTAAATCAGTTCAATGACTAATTCATTCAAAGTTGAGAAATGACTGGCAGTTTAGAAAACGGGAAAAGCTTGTTTTCCTTTTCCAAACTATGAATAAAAAAGTAGGTGTGAGTGGATGAACTCTACTAAAATCATGAAGGACACGGTGACCAGAAAGAATCAGTTTAATTCACTACCTACAGGTAGTACCTTCTTTCTATAATAAGTCATAAAACATGTTTTGATAATTTTTTTTCTTATGTATCCATCACTTTTAAAGTTTTTTTTTAATTAACTAATAAAAACCATTTTACAATGCTGTATTTGTGATTTAACGGGCTTCAAATTTCTACCCAAATAGAGTGTGAGACAAATCATAAAGTTGCACCAGTTTAATTAAAGGTTTGAATGGTTTAAATCAACTTGGTTAAAACAGTGCAAAAAATTGTGGGGACACTCTTACTTTAGATAAAACCAGGTTTAACTTACATCAATTTTGTTGTCAGAAATAAAGAGGTTGGCACTGGTTTAAAAACCAATGTAAGTTGTTGCAACTTTCTTGTGTAGGCATGGCCACAGTCTCCTACACATTCAGTCCAATACCATGTATACTCTGCATTCACTTTAAAATATTGAAAGGAAAAAATTACAAAATACTTAAGGAAGTCATGAAGTCAACAAACTAGCCAACTATGAATAGTTATGATTAGTTTGAAATGTTTAAAGCTCACTATTTACAGCCTTTTAAAGGTGCATTTTGAGACATATAGTGAAGTATGCCATTAACCATAAAAAAAAGATGCACATTATGCACACAGATTTCTTGCAACAACCTTAACTTTGGCCATCAGCCAAGAAGAAATTCTGCTGCCAGACTGAAGTAGTAACACATTATTTGTCTAAAAGATACACTACCACGATCTTTTGTTCCAAGCTCTAACCTACTTTAATCAGATGTTAAAACAATGTCTAAATAATCTAAATAATTCTCTCCTCACCCATCCCACAACTAAAGCTATCACTTTATTAGTGACATTTAAAAACAAACAAACTTTGTTTTGATCATGCATTGCCCTTTGGTGGTCTGCAGTTGCAGTTAAACACTACTCTCAAAGTAGTGCTGACACTGAATTCTGGTGTATAAGTAAATTAAAAACAGCAATATTAATAAACTCCAACTTCAAAACAAAGAAAAACCATATTTACTAAATAAAACTCAGTGAAGGGGAAAATGGTCAAGCTCTTAACAATATTATATAAAACAGTTGGAGAGAAGTAGGAAAGAATGCAAAGACTTCAAAAATGCACTTTAGGATAATTTCAAATACAAAAACGAACAGAAAAAAATCCATGTTCAAACAAAACTTACTTGATTGCCAGTTATATTTTTAAATATGGAGCAAGCAAATTTTCTACTCCTCAGCAATGCCGTTCATGTACTTTACATCCAAAATTGGAAACACACAGAATACAGCCTATACTGCATTACATTAGATTCACAAGCAAATGTAAAAATTAATCCCTTTTCCCCCTGCTTTCAATTTAAAATAAAATAAAATTATAATCTGTTTGATTAGTTTATGATTATTGAATGTAATCAAGGTCTAAAAGAACCAATTGTTTTTCCTCAGTTTCTATATTCTTGGAAATAATCTAGGCACAAGTCTACTAAGGCATTCTAAGCAGGTGTTTGTAAAATTTAAAATAAAACTATTGTATCATATCACAGTACTTTCCCTCCTCCACAATCTACCGCCCTCAATATCAAGGCCATCATCTTGGTGGCAAAGAACAGGACAAGAATCTGCTTGGAGCCATTCAAAGCCAATCTAAGCTACATTTACAATCAAGTCTGAGGTCCCCATTTCAACATAATTCTGATTTGCACTGTAAACAGGACTTTATCTCTTTTACGTAGCCAGGTTAAAAGCCTTGGCTGTTGCCAACAGAATTAAGATCCATTCTTCATTACAAATTGGAACCATGTTGTAAGCAGGTCAGGGGATAACTGTGTTGAAACTGGATCCTCTGAATGCAGTAATCGCAGTGTAGAAAGGTGCTTAACTGGCTGAAGGTATCATTGAGCAATCCAGAACATTTTCAGATTCCTCTGAGATTACTTCTTCTCCTGAGCACGTCTTGCTGACCTGAGGAGCAAGATGCTGGGGATCAGGTATTTCACATGTATGTCCCATACAAATGTTCAGAGCAATACCACCAGGACAATGCTTGAAAAATTAACTTGACACATACAAGCCAGAAGTTGCCATGAAAGTTGGGGATGCCCCCCTACCAACATGGTTTATTTAGGGGCAACACCATGGTAAGAAATCCAGGCTCCCTGCCCTCCTCCACCCATATTGCTGTTGGAAAGGAAGGGTGCTAGGATTCCTATCTGGGTGGTACCTCGACCTAAAGCATCCTGGTATCAGCCTCTCACCAGTAGGTTTCTGATATATATTAAATATCCATCCACTGACTACTGGAAGGAAGAAGGAGCTTTCCACTTCCCATACTTCTACCCCTAAATTTGGAGAAGTTAGTTAACTGCTACTATCCTTCCCCTCAGCATCCATTTCTTTGGATCCTCACTTGTGAATAACTCCAGTTTCTTATCTTCTCCTGTCCTCTAGCCCTCCAAGCAGCAGCAAAGTGAAGTTAACATAAATACCAGATTTACTGCTGTGTACGGGATTCTGAATAACAATAGTGAATCTGTAGAGTTTTGTCAATTTCACTTTGCTGCTTAGGAAATTTATGAGCAGCAGCAGGCAGGCTATAGGTATCTGCAGATTTAGAAAGGCACCACTGCATCAGTTCATATTCATAAGATTATCCTTACAACCATAAGGGTTAAATATTTTTCTCCTTCGTTGTTTAAATTTTGCAGAAACTGATGTTTAGCCCCTCTGGTGAGCACCTCAGAGAAAGTTTTCTTCCTGACATTGGTATTTCAAAACCACCAGGCTGGGTCATAAAGCCTTCAGCTGCAGATAAAATGCATATGCCATATTAAAGAATCTCAGTTTAAAAATCAGAAATATGTATTAGCAAAAATCAGTGACCGATAACCCACTAAGAACACACCAAGTGTATTCAAGTTTTGATCTAATACATGTGCCTTTCATAGTAAGTTACTTATGGCATATCTTCTTATTCCTCAAATAGATTGTCTACAGGTCTACTTTGAAAGGTTTTGAGTATTCTTATTTATAAATATAGTATATGCTGCAGCTAGAATTACAGACTTTTTGACTGTGGTAGTGGGGGTGAGCAGTTAGAGAATAATTCATGTAAGACTAAGGCCTGATCTACACACAGATCTTGTACCAGTATAATTATTTTCAGCTAGAGGTATGTTGGGGTGGACATAGTTACACAAGTATAAAAGAGCCTTATACCAGCATAGTTTATTCTCAGTCACAAAGGAATAAGCTGTATTGGTATGCTAATAATACTTTTATGCTAATATAACTGTTTCTACACTGGGAGGGGTTTGTACTACTTTAACGATACCTGTACAATTAAGTGGTATAACTTGTGTGGTTTGACAAGGCCTAAGGATAACTTATTTTGTTAACATGAAGGAATCACCAATAAAAGCCATGGGTTTTACTACTTTGAGCAAGTTTTCAGTTACGCTTGAGTGAAACACCAACAATTCACAATACAAAACCTTAACAGATAAACATTTTTTCCTGAACAGCAATTCAACAAGTTCTGACTATTAAAGTTACAAAAAGACTAAAAAAAATTATTTTTCCAAAACAAAACAAATCTTTTTGCTGACCAATCTGATGAAATGATTTCATCAATTCTCCCTTTGCGTTAAATAAACCAAACACCACACCCATCATACTCTGGGATTTTTTCCCCCCTCTCTTATTTAAATGCTAATTGCTTCTCATGAGGTTTCTATTCAATCAGTCTTTTGCACAATCCACCATAGTACATTTTAATGATCCAGCCCTTTCACTGCATTACACATGTCCTGGAAAATTGTGAAGGTTTATGTGCCTCTTTTAAGCCCAAGGTCCCTGATTCCCCACCCACTGAAATCAGTGGAAAAGCTCCCATGACTTGAGAGATGCAGGATCAGGCCCAAAATCCCTATAGAGTATTTCTATGAGTAGAGGAACCAAACATTGCTCTCACATCTGTTTAGATGTGTATAGTCAAATTTGCGGTCAATGACTTGTAAGTTTTGTGCTAAAATGAGAAAAAAATAGTTCTTAATAGGTTCTCAAATGTCACTCTTCCTTCTCCATTCCAGTTTACTGCCAGTACTTTTCTTGTAGGCAAATAGAAATTGCATCACTGAGTGACAGCAGAAATGGATAAAATATAATACATATCCCCCATAAGGTGACAATATGACATAACAAATGTATATTGACAGACAGACTAAGTTATAGTGGATTTTAATTGTATTCTTTCCCAGAAAAATACACATTTCTTACTAATTATGTAGCCAACATTCATTTAAATGTAGATCTAGAGAATACTGTATTTTACACTGTACAAAATATCCAATATTCAATGATTCCTTGTGTACAAAGCACGAGGACCCTAACGTTTTGTTAAATAAATTAGAAAGGTTTTATGCAAGAGTTCCTTCAAAGAGGTATTAAAGATTGAAACAAAACTTAAAACTGAGCCTGTTTTTATTTGTTTAAAAGATCTTATGGATTTTTCAAAGATATTTTGCTTTTTTTTCTCCTTTCCAAAGTCAGCACTCAAGTAACTGAACAAAACACTATACATATACATGAGAGAAGAACAAAAATAAAAAAAGTCAGCTTTACACTTTTAGGTTATAAGTAACAGCCAGCCAAAAATGTAAACATAAAAATGCACAGACTGACTGCATATTTTAAAAAGCTCAAACTACCAGACACCAGTTAAATTTGTTTCTTATGTTGTTTCCACTATGAAAAAAATATTCTGATGGAATTAAATGAAAACTGTTAAACCACCATATCTGCATAGTTGATTAACGAATATAAAAAAAAAAAAATAGGAAAGCCAGCGATCATTCTTGTTAGGTCCATCCTCAAGAAAAATTCAATTTTCAAGCAAATTTTTGACAGTATGTCTTTTGTTTCTCTCAAGTTACGTAAAGAAAAAGCAATCCCTGACCTTAAATATTTTGACTAAAAAGGATAAAAGAATAGTACTCAACAGTATCAAACGCTTAGCATAACACAAGGCAGGGCTGAAATAGGCAAAATGCAGGTCTAGAAAATCAAGTTCAGTCACCCCGGATTGCGTTTTACAGTGTTATTAACAGTCATGTGCCATCAAAACATGGAATGTGGCAGTGTTTGGGATATGCTCCACAAAGCTGAAGTAAAAGCTCCTCCTGTCATCTAAAGCAGCAAAGATTTCTCAACACACTCTGGACAAACGCAGATGTCAATAATTAAATCTAGCTACAGAGAAAACAGGGTGACAGTTCAAAATAAAATCCTGAATAATAATACAAATTTAAGAAAGGATTTTAGATTTTAGGAAAAAACTAGCAGAAAATCTGAAATGAAATGGGGACTAAAAAAAAGTGGTGTTATAGTGTGCAGCTATACAGCTAGTACTTTAGGGGATAGTGCTCTCTTATTTTTTAATCTGTAAAGCAAACCTAACCTGAGAAGCTATACAGCATGACTGTAGGGAACTCAGCAGTTTGCATAACAAAAAACCACCACATAATATTTACTCAAAAGGAGACACCACAACATGCTATGGTATTGAGAACACTGGCCTTGCAAGCTTCTTCCCCTAAGATCTCACACCATTTCAACTGTATGAGTGGGAGCACTAGGGTAGGTTGCCTATTTTCTCCACTGTCATCTAACCCTGTTCAGAACAGGTCTAGACTCAGTGGTAAAGTCAGTGACAAATAGTCTAAAACAGTCCTACCACAAGTAGAACTGCACCAGCAGGTTGTAAATGATAGGTGACTTTAAGAATAATCCCCATGAAAACAAGCTCTGCAGTCAGATCCTCTAAGTTAAATCCCTTCTAGACTCACTTCTTCCAAACCACTGATAAACAGACAAAAAACCTTAAAGCCCCAATCCCACAAATTTTTATGATCAATGGGGCCTACTCAACATGGGAAAATTAAGTATGTGCATAAGTATTTGTGGGATTGGGACATAAAAATACGTTCACCTAGTGCATCTTGTCTTACCTTATCCCTTTAGTTGTAACCTTCCCATAACAAAGACTACCATTATATCTGAGTCCTATCTAACACCAAGAATACCATCAGTGCTTAAAAAAACAACGGATACACACTGAGTTTGCCACCAATAGTGGAGAGAACACATTTCAGGTGCTATTACTTGTCTTGCAAGTAAAAAAACCAATCAAATCTTTTTGTGATAGCCAGTCCCTTTACTTTCTCAAAGGCAAATAAGGACACGAGAAATTGAGCATCACTTACTGGACAGAGCACTTGACTAGGTGTCGGGAAACCCAACCTATTCCCTACTCTACCACTGATCTGCTGTGCAACCTTCAGCAAGTTACTTCACCTCGCAATACCTCAGCTTCCCCTTTCTGAAATGAGGATAACAATATTTCCACTCCTTTGTAGAGAGCTTTGAGATCTATGGATGAAAGGCGCTATACAAAATTATTAACTATATTCAGTGATTCATAAACCCACTCATCTCCATTGTGAAACTTTATCACAGGAGATATAAACAGGCAGGTAGTAATAGCATGAGCTATTTAAAGAGAATCAAGTACAAAAGTAGGATTTGCCTTACCTACCAAAAGCCCCCCAGTATTAGTCTCAAGCTTATTCACAATTAAACAATATTAAAACATAGGAGAATTAAAGAGGAAGACATCCATATTATCTATGATATTTGGATTAAAGGGACACTACCATTTTTAAAAAGTCAGACTTCATCTAATTTAAACTACAATTTCTCTGTATTTTTTATTTACTGTGTACATCTGACAGCACTTGGAGCCGGATCCAGATCAATGCGAATCCTTTCACGGACATCAAAGGGCTTTGGATCAAGTCACAGTCAGTTTAAATTAAAACAACAAGGAGTCCGGTGGCACCTTAAAGACTGACAGATTTATTTGGGTATAAGCTTTTGTGGGTAAAAAACCCACTTCTTCAGATGTTTTTTACCCATGAAAGCTTATGCCCAAATAAATCTGCTAGTCTTTAAGGAGCCACCGGACTCCTTGTTGTTTTTGTAGATACAGGCTAACACAGCTACCCCGATACTTGACAGTTTAACTGTTTTCCCTTTATACATAGTCAGTTTCCCATTTGTTTGTTGGGGGTCTCTCTCTCAACTGTGAAGGGAAAAAAATCTGAAAACAGGAAAACTTGATTGTGAAACCACAAGAATTATCAGGGAGAGAAGGGGAAAATGTAATTCCTGAAACTACTTTTAGGTTAGTTTTTAAAAACTGACTAGAATGCAAGTTGACAGTGTCCCTTTAAAATGAAAAAAAATATATATTTGTGAACTAATCTAGGCGTTTTCTTCAGAGAAGTTTTATATTCATCCTTTCACTGAAATATTAAAATTGCTATTTAGCGAGCATTATAATACGTGTAGCCTTTTTAAATGTAGATTTTTAGTTTTCCTGAATGTAATCACTTTCAGTGAGTCAAAATCAGGCAGGGACTTTAATGTTAAGTTTAAAAGCAGTGTATGAACTCAAGTGAGTCCTCAATCCGTATCACTCAGCCAAACATCAGAGTTAATTATTAAGCTCTTGCAAGGTGGAATATTTTCTGGAGGTCAAGCTAGAGGGTTTCTTGAGTAACTTTCATCATAAATTTTTCCCAGATGACTAAGGGATTGTGTGCTGCACTGCCACATTCAGAGCAAGTAATCTGATGTCTCCTAACAGAGTACAATAAGTCTCAAGAAGGACTAAATAATGTGATTTCATTAAGGAACATATACATTCAGGACAAATTCTGCCAAGAGTAGCATTTTTCTTCCTTTCAATATACACAGAAGCATATTTTAGATCCCTAAAGACTTCAACTCACCAGAAATCTGTTTTAAGGACCTAAATTTGGGTAACAGAAACAGAGGAGAACTAACATCCTGCAACTTGCTGACTTCTATAGCAGTGAGAAACGCCCCAATGTCACAACCGACGAAATCCAGCGTGGGAGGGGGGGTCCCCCCGCCCCCCCAGTTTCTATCTGCCCGTGTAGGTCCTTGCACAACACCCATCGCCGGTCACATCCTGGTGCCTGCGCTTTCCCCAGACGGGTTCAGCCTGCCCGAGAATCCCCCCGCCCCAACATGTAAAACGCGAAAACTTAGATTGGCTGGTGCCGATGTCATCGCTGTCGGCAGATTGCAGGTAACTTTCCACCGCGAGGAGGTGAGTTTGTTACGGCATCCGCCGCAGCCGGCGCTGCGGTCTCACTTCTAGTCTCACACCGGCCTGCCAGCCCCAGACCCCACCTCGCCAGCTGCGTATCAGCCGCCCCCCCTCCCCAAAACATCGGGGGGGAGCGGGGCGGCGAATCGTTACGGACCCAGGGGCCTGTCAAACCCCATTTCCCTCCCCCCCTCCCCCTGTCCTCTTCCTCCTGGACGCGCCGGAGCCGGGATCTGCGGTGTAAACAGCCGCGTACGCACCTTGCCAGACAACAGCTGGGCTCCGCGTCGCCTGTTCCTGTGGCGCTTTCCGGCTCCACCATGCTTCTCACAACGGCCTCAGCAGCCGGGCTCCATCCTGCCGCCGCCGCGCTCAGCCCCTGCGGCAGGGCGGGGGCTCTCGCCGGCCAGCGATGCTCCCCGCGGCGCGTGCGGGCCGGATCTCCCTCCCTCCCCACCGGGGGGAGCAGAGCCGTCTCCTCAGGGGAGCTGCCGGGGGGGATGGTCCCGGTCCCGGCCAGGAAAAGGGACGGGCGGCTGGGCTGGGCGGAGGCGCCTCCGCCCCTCGCCGGAGAGTCCCTGGTGGCTCGGCCACCTCGACCCGGCGGCGGCCGCGTCTCCTCCCCGGCCGGGTCGCGCTCTCCAAGAGCGGCTCTCAAAGAGCGGGGGGCGTCGGCGCCCGCCTCGAGGACGGCAGGAGCCGCCACCGGGACATGCTGGCGGGAAAATTACCCACTTGTTGCCCTCGCGCTCGGCTGACAGTCGCCCCGCGCCGCTCGCGTGCCCCCGTCGCGCGGCTCTGCCTCGCGCGCGCAGCCCCCTCCTCCAGCCTGCCACCGAGGCAGGCGGCGCGAGAGCGAAGGACTGGGGAGGGAGGGCTCCGGACCCGGCAATCTGGCCTCGCGCTGGGGGAGGGAAGCGGGGGGCGGGGGGAGGCGTCGGCGCCGCGGCCCTCTAAGCCCCGCCTTTCAGCCTTCCTAGCCAATGAAAAGATTCCATCAATGGGGAGGGGGTTGCGGAGGCTCCTGAAGTCGGTGCAGGGGGAGATGAAGGGAACTTTGGGGGGGGGGGGGGGAGGAAAGTTCGCTCCCTCAGTGTCTCCATCACGTTGTCGCCGTCACCGTGCAACGGGCTGCTCCCCACACAGGGCCCGCCCAGCAACACCCTAGGACCCTGTGTGGCTGCTGACTCTTGCAATGTTATTGCAAGTCTTGTGCTCGTTCTTGTTTTTCTTAAAGCCCCGGCTGCTGGGATGAAGCGAATCTCACCTCTTCCCCCCAACCCCCAAAGTTGCTAGCCCTCCCAGTTGCAGAGTAAAGCTTGAACACACCGACCGAGTGCCCCCTAAAGGCTCAGGAACCAGATAAAAATAAATAGAGACGTCCTATTGCCTAGAACTGGAAGGGACCTTGAAAGGGCATTGAGTCCAGCCCCCTGCTTTCACTAGCAGGACCAAGTACTGATTTTGCCCCAGATCCCTAAGTTCCCCTCTCCCCTCAAGGATTGAACTCACAACCCTGGGTTTAGCAGGCCAATGCTCAAACCACTGAGCTATCCCTCCCTCTCCTCCCCCCCCTATTTGTTATGTACAAATAATCTCCTGGGTTTTAACTGAATCTCGTGATTTTGGGGATCTGACGCCTGATTTTTGATCACCTGGGATTGGCAATACAGAGGACCCACCCTATGTCTGATGTCACAGCACGATGGGATTGCCACACGCAGGGCCTTATCTCTCTGACCCTGTTCCACAGCCCAATAATATCTCCACATGTGGGGCCCAGCATCACAGCAGTACCCTCCCCATCCTCACGCTCCTGTCACCACATCACAGCATTGGAGTTTCCACATGGGGGCCCCCCCACATCTACCCAGCATCCCTGTGTGCCTGACTCTGCAATGCACCCAATGGGATCCCCACACCACACATCAGCCCCTCCTCAGACCAGTCTAAGGACCCTGACTGTACCTGCCTAGCCTCGGGCTCCTGTTGCACTTCTCAGACCTGCCTCTAGAATCTCATGACCTTCCCTGTGGTAGCTACAGGAATACAATTGGGGGCGGGGGAAGACAGAGAGATGAATACTGTTCAGGCAGACAGAAATGAAGACAATTCTTGATCTCTAGACATCCCTCATTCCTCAGAATCCCATGAAGTAGGTGAAAATGTATTAGTTTCTTGGACATAAAATAAATTTCTTTCATATCCATTTCTTCTGTTATGCAGCCAACAGACATCCTATGGACAGATAACTGATACGGCGCGATCTGAATTGCTTGGTAAACTGGGCACAAGCAAATAATATGTTTTAATACAGCTAAATGTAAATGTATATTCTGGGAAGCTGTGACTGATAAAGATATAGCAGTCATGGCGGAAAATCAGCTGAACATGAGTTCCCAGTTAATGCTTTGACCAAAAGGGCTAATGCGATCATTGGATGCATAAATAGGGAAAGGTCAAGTAGGGGTACAGAGGGGTAAATTTTACCACTGTATTTGGTACTGATGCAACTTCTGCTGGAATACTGCATCCAGTTCTGGTGTCCACAATTCAAGAAGGATGTTGATAAATGGAGAGGGTTCAGAAAAGAGCCATGAGAATGACAAAAGGATTAGAAAATATGCCTTAAAGTGATTGAGCTCCTGGAGTCTAACAAAGAGAATGTTAAGGGGTGACTTGATCACAGACTATAAGTACCTACATGGAGAACATATATTTGATCATAGTCTAGAAGACAAAGGTATACATGATCCAATGGCTGGAAGCTGAAGCTACACAGATTCAGACTAAAAATAAGGCATACATTTTTATCAGTGAGGGCAATTAACAACTGAAAACATTTACTAAGGGATGTGGTAGATTCTCCATTGTTGGCAATTTTTAACTCAAGATTTTTTTATTTTTTTTTAAAGATCAGCTCACTCTAGTTCAAAAGGAATTATTTTGAGGAAATTCTATGGCCTGTGTTTTATAAAGAAGGTATAAAAATTTCAGCCTGAACAGTTAAAGTTTTAAACAACTGAAAAAAGGGTTTTATAATGGGAAGCATCAGGCACCTTTAATAATAGGTGGCAGTACCAGTGCTGCCTATAAATAATATATACACAGACAACATTTTTGTTGTTAAAACTCATGAAAAACTGTATCTTGTTTACTTACATTCCTGTTGCTTTTCTTATAATTAATATTGTAAATAATTGTCAGAAACTTAGTCTCATGGATCAGTCGGTAACTGATAGGAGATAGGAAAAAGATAGGAAAAAAAGAGTAGGAATAAATGGTCAGTTTTGAGAATGGAGAGAGGTAAATAGTGATGTCCCCAAGGGTCTGTACTGGGACCAGTTCTGTTCAACATATTCATAAAGGACCTGGAAAAGGGGGTAAACAGCGAGGTGGCAAAATTTGCAGATGATACAAAACTACTCAAGATAGTTAAGTCCAAAGCAGACTGTGAAGAGTTACAAAGGGATCTCACAAAACTGGGGGACGTCTGGGCACCAAAATGGCAGATGAACTTCAATGTTGATAAATGCAAAGTAATGCACATTGGAAAACATAATTCCAACTATACATATAAAATGATGGGGGTCTAAATTAGCTGTTACCACTCCAGAAAGAGATCTTGGAGTCATTGTGGATAGTTCTCTGAAAACATCCACTCAATGTGCAGTGGCAGTCAAAAAAGCTAACAATGTTGAGAATCATTAGGAAAAGCATATATATCATATTGCCTATATATAAATCCATGGTATGCCCAAATTTTGAATACTGCGTGCAGATGTGGTTGCCCCATCTCAAAAAAGATATATTGGAATTGGAAAAGGTACGGAAAAGGGTAACAAAAATGATTAGGGGTATGGAACAGCTTCCAAATGAGGAGAGATTAGTAAAACTGGGATTTTTCAGCTTGGAAAGGAGACCCCTAAGGGGGGATAGGATATGATAGAGACCCCCTAAGGGGGGATATGATCGGGGTGAAAGTAAAATGCAGCTCATACTGGCCCTCCCGGAAGGGGTGGGGCCTCGGGGGAAGGGGCAGGGCTGGGGGTCAGTATCCCCCAGCCAATCCATCTGTGCTTCCTGGCCCGTGCTGCCTGGGGCTCCAGCGGTAAAGCCCCGGGCCCTTTTAAATCGCGGCCCCAGGGCAGCTACTTCTTTTGCCCTCCCCCCCACCGTTGGCGGCCGGTGGGGGGGCAAAAAGGGCAGAGCTTTAACATTGCTGTCCCTTTTGCGCCCCCCATCAATGGCCCTGCCGGGTCATCGCTGCCCCTTTTGCGCCCCCCCATTGGGGGCCCTGCTGGTAGGGACCCGGCAGGGCCGCTGATCGGAGGTGCAAAAGGGGCAGCGCTTTAAGCAGAGTTCTTAAAGCGCTGCCGCGGCAATGCCTTAAAGTCAGCGGTACGGGCTGGTACTGGCGGCTACCTTTTGCCGGTATGCCGTACCGCCCGTACCCCCTTATTTTCACTCCTGGATATGATATGATAGAAAATCATGACTGGTGTGGAGAAAGTAAATAAGGAAGTATTATTTATTCCTGCTCATAACACAAGAACTAGGGGTCACCCAATGAAATTAATGGGCCACAGGTTTAAAACAAACAAAAGGAAGTATTTCTTCACACAATCTGTGGAACTCTTTGCCAGAGGATGTTGTGAAGGCCAAGACTATAACAAGGTCAAAAAAAGAACTAGATAAGTTCGTGGAGGATAGGTCCATCAATGGCTACTAGCCAGGATGGGAAGGGATGATGTCCTGAGCCTCTGTTTGCCAGAAGCTGGGAATGGGCGACAGGGGATGGATCACTTGATGATTACCTGTTCTGTTCATTTCCTCTGAAGCACCTGGCATTGGCTTGAAGACAGGATACTGGGCTAGATGGACCTTTGGTCTGACCCAGTCTGACCATTCTTATGTTCTTATGTAGTCATGCTGAAATGCTACAGCACTGGAAATTTTGCAATATTTTGGATGGGAAAATATTATTGTCTATATTATATGAAACTTAGATATAACAATAACAATCAAATATTCATGCAAATCTTTTTTTTTTAAAGGGAGTAATCCTTGTTGTCTTCCTGGGCTGCATCTCCCTAAAGACAAAGACTGCTTCGATTGTTTCCCTGTGTACGTACCTCCCCATTAACATTTATATTAGCTCCTGTCATCTCACTCCTTATTGAATATATTCCAGTTATTTCCATGACTCTAACTTCTGTATTGAAAGTGAGGGGATTTCTGTCATCTCCATAGGCCACTCCTCCATATAAGGATGCGGGAGGCTGCAATTGGCTCCATTTCATGCAAATTAGGTATGGTCTTCAGGCTCCCGTGTACTGATCGTGCACCACTGAAATCCATGGGACTTTTGCTATTGATTTAAATGGGAGTAGGAGTGGGTCCACAGTAAGTTACCATTGACACCTTCAATTGGGCAATATTTGAGAGTTCCAGATTTTGGAGACTTGCCATCATAAGCCAATGAAAATCCTGTATGACTCACTATTGTATTGAGAGAGACAGGGTGGATGAGGTAAAATCCATGGACGGTGAGTGAAGCTTCCCCTGGGGGAAGCTAGCTCCCTGTCCCACCTGCCTATTCCGCCCGCAGCCTCACCCACAATCTGCCCCTGCTTGGCCCCAGGGCCTGCCACCGCTCGGCCCCCCCACCTCTGTGTTCCTCCTCTTCTCCCCCCATCCACGAGGCCCCCATCGACCTGCCATGTCCCTCCTCTCCTCCTCCCCCTCCCCTGTGACCTCACCACTCATCGCGTCCCTCCTCATTCCCCCGCTAAACTCCCCTGCCCGCTGCGTCCCTTCTCTCTTCTACCCCTCCCCGTGATACCCCCCGCCCGCCGCAT